TCTTGCTTAGAGCCACAGGGCCAGATTATTTAAAATATCACCCTGGCTGTCCAACCTTGTAGATATATTCCCTGACCCTGAGCAAAGAGCTGAGTGGGGCAAAGCTGCTGGTGCTGAAAAACCCAGTGTCTCCATCATCAAACTGCTCCCATTACTCAGCCTCATCCTAAACATCAAGTCCTTGTCCCATCCCCAGGGAGCAGGGCCAAGCCCAAGTACCAGAATTTCCTGACAGGTAAATGCTGCAGACACATCTAGGGGTTAGAAGGGAAGGCTGCTGAGGGGATGGGAGGTTCCTGGGGATGGAAGTTATCAGGGAATGCACAGGCAGGCAGCACTGCAGCTGGCAGAGCTCTGGCTTGGTCAGTTTAGAGATTGCTTTGCAAGACACGTGCTGATCTGATTAACAGGCAGAGTGGAGTGGGATGGATGCTCCCTGCTCCCTCGCAGGGCAGTGTGAGCTGGTGCTTGCCCTAAGAGGATTATTGGTGTGTGGGGCTGTGCTCTCCTTTTCCAAGCCAGGGAGGATATTCCCCATCTCCCTGCCAGCTGGCAGGATGTGTCCATGAGAAGTGGTGAGCTGGGGTTTTCTCAGGGCCTGGGATGTATCAGGGCTGCCTCCCCTTGCTCCAGCCACTCAGCTCTGCTGTGGATGGGCTTTGGGGCTGTCCCAGGGCTTTGTGGCTCCTGGGGACATCTGCTATAGATGTGCTCAAGGTGTTTGTCTGGTTGTGCTCAGGGTTTATGCCATGGTGTGGGGTGCTGACATCAAGCCCTTGTTCTTGCAGAGAAATATCTGCAAGAGGACTCTGCCTACTTTTAAGTACCTGGTGCTGCCTGCTGGTGTGACTGAGCAGAGTCATACTGGTCCTAGTGCTGTTCTGGCACTTCCATAGCTCAGCCTGGGAAGCCTGTGGGTGCTCCAGGCAGGAGGAGCTGATGGCACTGCTCTTCTCTCTGCCCATTTCTCTGAATTACTACAGCTGTGCCAGGCTCTTCACCCACTGGTAGGTCTCCAGGTGAGTGAGTGAGGTGGGTTTCTTCTCTGGCTTGACTGTCCTATGCCTGCAGGGTACTCATGAGGCTGTTCTTGCCCAGGTCTTTATCACTGTGTATGGCCTGAAGATGTTTGTTAAAGGGTGTAGTGGAGCTGTGGGGCATGAGTAATGCCCAAGCCTCCATCAGTCTATCTGTTGTCTATAAACAAGACAGCCAAAATACATTGGTGATGGTGCTCCTGTGGGGCAGCAACCACCCAGTTTGTCTGCATTGGGGATACCTTGTCCCTGGGTCAGCTCAGGCTGTCACAAAGGCTAATAATTTTTTAGTTAATGTGCATTTTATTGCGGGAAGACATCTCTGCTCCTTGCTGGAGGGCTGGACTAGGTGACCTTTAAAGATCTCTTCAAACCCAAAGGATTCTTTGATTCTAAGTACAGCCAAAGTCACATCTATAGAGCCCAGAGCCCAAACCCAAATCCCAAACATTTGTGTATGTTGGGGGAACTTTATCCAGCCTTGGCTCTAGCACTAGATTTTGTTTGGGTGGGTTTTTTTACCTACCTTGTTATTGATAAGTTTTCAGGTTCCTAATTTTTTTCCCATCCTTTAGGTTGCAGCAGGTACCAAGAACAAAATGGATGTTAATTATTATGGCAGCAGCAGATACTTCCAAGAGCACAGAGCATCCACCAGAGAGGATCTACCAGGACTGGCAAGTATTTTCTTAATACATCCCAAAACAGTTTGGGCCCCACTCCTTACAGCTCCCAGGTCAGCTCCCCTCTCTGCCCATCCCTCATGCTTAAGGGGGTGCAAACCCCTCCTTTAACCAGAGTTTTTCGGGCCTTTCTGCAGGTGTGCCTGTGAATTGTCCTACAAGCAAGCCAACCCACCAGCCACCTCTGTGCCAAGTGTGCTGTCAGCAGGCTGGCTATGGGCTGGATGAGCAGGTAAAGGATATTCCCTGCACTCCCCATATGCCAGGGCTGCTCCCTGTTGTCTGAAAAACGCTCAACCAACCCATCAGGAAACCTCGGTGTGATTTTGGGGCAAAATGCAGTGCAATCTCGGTTCAAAAAATCCAGCCAAACTCTTTGATTTGGACAGAAAAATGTGCCCTGGGGATAGCTAGAGGTGCCCAGTGGGGCTCCTGGGCTGGTCTGAGCCCCCGGGCAGGGTGGGGACAGTGTGATGAATGCGGTGGTGCTCAGCAGGCAGGGTGCGATGTGCTGGGTGCTGTGTCCTGGGTCCGGGGCTGGGTCTGGGGTTGGGTCAGGCTCACTAGATGGCAGCAGCTTCTTCCAAATGGGCAGCACAGTGTAACACAGCCCAGGCAGGGGCCGAGACAGACCCAGAACAGGCTTTGAACTCCTCTGGGATATTGCGTCATGGAGGGATAGCCAGGATTTTATATTCTTCTTGATGTTTTTGAAGGCAACGCTCACCTTGGGACCTGAAATGGCTCCTTGATCTGGTGGGGCTCTGGGCAGCCCCAGCTACACCTGGATACTGGGAGCAGGGGATCCCCAATGATCCTCACCATCACCCAGGGATGCTCATGCAGAACCACAGCTGCACCTGTACAGGGTAAGCTATCCTGAGCATCCCTAAAGCATTGGATGCTTTTCCTAAATCCCAAGCTCTTGGAGCAATATGAAGGGTTTTTCACGCTTGAGTTGTATACCCGTGTTTCTGGCTGCCTGAGGGGCAGGGAAAGCACAGAAAATAGCTGCCAGACAGGCTCTGCAGGCAGCCCAGCTCGCCGGAGCCGGCGGGACAGTCCATGTTTCCTGGACACATGCTGGATTATTGTGGGATCCAGAAAGACAGGCACTGCTGACTCGTGAGCAAGAACATACAACTGGCTGGCTGGCGCCTGTCCGAGACATTTGTGTTAATCAGTGATTATGCAAATAAACAGCTCTGCCATGCTACCAGCTCTGCCGCGCGACGTGGAGCATATGTTCCTCGTGGCAGGCAAGTGCCTCCTCCAGGAGCTGCAAAGCTCCTCGTTTCCATTGTGGGACCTGCTGTGAAAAGCAGATTAAAGGCAGCCCGTGGCTGGTGGGGGAAGGCAGGAGCCCCTCGAGGCCCCCCAGCCCGGCCGCCGCCGCCTCTCCCCTTTCCCCATGTGGCTTGAATTACTGCAGCCGTTTGCTTAATCCATCAGGCTTCAAGAATGAGCCACTCGGTGCTTTCTTGGCCTCTCCAGCAAAGCACTATGCTGTAAACATAACAAGGCAGGCTTGTTCCAAGCCCTTGAAGTCAACAAGCAGTGCTTCTCCTGCCCTTTGGGTCTGGGCTGCTGCTAAATATAGCCAAGGGTGCTTTCCATTCATAAAAAGTGAATTATGCCTCAGCCTCTGAGGGAGGGGAATGAGTTGAGGAGCCTGTGGGCTCCAGACATGGCCTGTATGGGATGCAGGCAGTAACTGAAAAGCTTGGCCCCATCGTTTCACAGCCCTCCAGC